TAGTGCTACCTTAGACAGCGCTGACAGAGTTCTCCCTCTTTGGCAAAAACATTTCCCCACCCATCTGGAACTTTGCATGTTTCTCGTTCTTAGGTCCGGTCACAGCAACCCTTCTTGGAATCCTAATTCATTGTTTTTGACAAATTATGTGTTAGAGACTAAAATCTGGGTTCTGGGATTGCACGTGAGATGGTCCCATGGGCGCTGGGAGTGGGCAGCCCCACATCAGAGGCAGCCCCAGCCCTCGGGGGGGCTGGGGCGGGGTACAAAGTCAGGATGCCGACGTTCCCTTTAGACTGATTTAATAAGCCCTTGGGTATCATGTTTTCATGTGAAAACAAATTTGTTTCTTTATCTGAACTATCGACTTTTCTTCTTGTCTGTGTAATTCTCTCCTATAACAGACCCTCTGTTAACTTTGGTATATCATGATTGAATTCCTCCCGCCAAACCACATCTCTAACTTATAATATCAGCCAAAGCTTTAGACATCTTCATTTTCCGTTCTTTAAGGAAAAAACAAAAGATATCATCCAGCGATTTTTAAATATTTAAGCAAGACAGAGGCCATGAACAATTCACAGATGCAGGGATGACACCGGGACTAGGCGCTGGCCATGAAGGACAGGAATGGGACAGCAATTTGGGAGACAAAAGTAAGTCTCTATCAGAATACTGCTTAAACAGGCTCTATGTTTTGCACATACGTATGAGAAAATGAGATGGTCAAGGGAAGCTGGTATAATTCTTCCAATATTTTTCCCTCTTGGGAGTGAGGGGGAAATCCCTGGCCTTTGCGTAAAGTGGAAATAAGTATCCTCCTCCTCCTCTCCATCCCCTGCAGAGAAAAAGAGAGACCCAGCGCTACTTTGCAAACTGCATGTGGCGGAATCTGGTACATTTTTGTTACTAGACTGCTACTAGATTTTTAAGTCAGAATGAAGCCGGGAACACAGTGTTTGCCCAAGTAGCAGCTAAATGACGACTGTTGCTGACTTGGGTCTCGTGCTACTGCTGTTTCTCAGCAAGTTCCCACGTCTCCATTATCAAGTCTCTCTGTTCTTTCTCCCCTCCTGGGTTCTGTCCGGACCCTGTGCCTTCCCGCGCCAGACTGCGTACCCTCCCCTCCCCCCACGGTCCCAGCCGTGCGGTCCAGGCCCCAGCCGTGGGTGCAGCCCTTCCTCCCACCACAGCAGCCCTATGTCGCATCATGCTTTGGCTCCCACCACGGAAACAAGGAATCTCTGAGCTGCCTCGGGTCCACTAGCTCAGGAGCCCCAGGCTGCCATGTGCACCTGCCTCTCCCACACCACGGTGGTGTGGAGAACCCTCCGTGGTGTCACTGCCACCTACAGCAATGCACAGCAGGTCCCCTCTACTCACAGACCGTCAGATTTACTGTCAAAATCCAGCCATCCTGCCGACCAGAGCACAGACAGTCATCTGGCCCTGCAGCTGTTCTCACCTACTTCCTTGGTGACGGAACCCAGTTCTAGGTGGGGCCCACAGCCACCTACCTCCTGTCTCTGCAGCTATTCTGACCATGATGCCAGGGGTGGGGCCATGGGTAACATCCAGAAGTGTCTTTAAAGGAAGGGGCTGTATTTCTCATGGTGCCCCTGTCTCCTGCATGTGACGGGGCAGCCAGAAGCCACTTGGCCCCTGGCAAGGAAGCCCTGCCCAGCAGAGCCACAAGATGGCAGGTACCTGGGCCTGTCGTTTCGGCACCCTGGACAAGCTCTGCGCTGATATCCTTTGAAATTTCTGATTACGAGAAAGAAATAAACTTTATCTTGTTTAAGCCCCCGATATTTTAGAGATTTTGGTTATTCACAGGCCCATTTAGCTCAGACTAATGCACTGCTTAGGAGCTAATGCGCAGTCAGGGCGCAGGCCAGGCCAGGGCCCCTTCTCAGAAAGCAGCACAAACTCTAGCTTCTCTCTGCACTCTTTACTGGCTGCCCGGCCCAGAGCAATTCTGTCTCCTCTGTTGACAGGAGACACGCCCTTTCCTTATGTTCTGAGTCTCTGCAATGGCAGCCTGCCACCTAATGCCAGGGTCTGCGTCCTGTGTCTTGCTCTCCTGTGACCACCCGGCCCAGGACGATGGTTGCTGCTGTGTAGCAGCCTGAATAGGGGTTAAAGGAAGAGTGCGGGGCACACATGTTCTTGGCGCTTTGGAGGGCCATCCCGACACATACTCATGCCTACGGCTGCACTGGCAGGGGAGGGGACGGAAGCTCACCACGCTGCCCACAGCGACTCCCAGGGAGTGGAGCACTGACCGGCCTTCATTCTTCCTCCAAGGAATTATTTAAGTGGAGGGATTTGAAGTGACTTTTACTTTTTTCATGTTTCTTGGTATTTTTAAATTAAAAAAAAAAAAATCAAAACGTAGGAGTCGGGTGAACTGCAGTTTAGGAGTAGTCGTGGAGAACTTCCCGCAGCCCTGTGCCGTTAAAGTCGGCCCGGCAGGACCGGGGCCCAAAGCCAAACAGAACAGAGTGGCCGAGGCGGGTGCGGGAGCGCCTCACGAACGCCGTATTCTCAGAAAGATATCGTAGAAATGTCACGGGACCTCCCTTTCTGCAGCCAAGCCAAACTGCTTTCTGGTGTCGCTGATTGCGGCCAGGAATTCCCCAGGTGACCACCAACGGGCCACCTGGAACCCGCCAATTAAGGGAGACTGGAAATTTGGGGCTTCATGTCATCCACTTGTCTCCCTGAGCACTGCCCACCTGGCAAAGAAAGCTCCTGAGATTCCAGACGACGTGGGTGATGATGGACTTGGGACGTCTACGGTTTTGCCACCAGCAGGAAAGATTTCCAGAGGAACATGATCCCCGATGTGGGGCTCCTTGCTTTGGGAATTTGGCTGGCCAGGAACTGGAGTGACATTACCTTCAAGGCACATCAGCCAGGGGTGTAGCCAAATAGACAGTCTTTTACTGTCCCAAGTCTTCCAAAAACAGCCTACAACCTGTGACCACCACAGACACACCCTGACGGCTGCAGACGTTGGATTTAGACGGGCACCCTGCCCTTCCCGGCCCGGTTTCCCTCAGAGTTCCACGCCCCCTCAGACACTTCTCCTGGACCTCCAGGCCCCGGCTGCCACCCCGTCCTGCCCCTGCCTGGCCTGCAGCCCCCACGCCCGTCACCTGCTGCCCACAGGGGACTTCACGTCCTCCCTCTCAAGACCTACACGAAGAAGTCTCTGCAGGTTGAATTCCAGGTGCTGAAGGAAATGTCTGGGGCAGGAGTGAGGAGGTGATTGTTGGGTCCTTCAAATCCCTCCATCTGCTTACAGGGTGGGTCCTGCTCCCCTCCCACCCACTCCCTGTGCCTGCTGAGGGCGCTCAGTCCACGGCGCTGCCCCCGGGGGCGGGGGAGGCTCCTGGCAGCAAGCCCCTTCCAGGACCTTTCTGTGTTTCCTGATGCCTTTGCCACACCTACCAGCCTTCCCAAGCCTGTAGACACCGACTGCGCCCCGACCAGCTTACTGCTGCGTTCACACTGCCAGACGGACACCCTGACACTGCACCGAGGTTGACTTTGGCTTCATCACAGCAGCAATGAGGAAGGCAGGAAGGGCAGGATCACCACTGTCACCTTTGTGACACAGCAGGTGACATTAAAATACACTTTATTTCCATCGGGCGCCATTCGAAAACTGGTTCCCTGGAATAACCCTCCTTGCCTCGGGAGGGCACGTGCAGATACCCCCGGGAGGAAGCTGCGCCCTCAGACCCACTTCCTGGCTGTTGGGACAAACCTCATGCGACCTGCGCCGCCGTGCGTTCTCGGTTCTAGCGTGGCCGTGCCTCCTCCCACAGGAGCAGCACACACTCCCGTCTCTTCCTGTGTCCACACGGCAGCGAGAAGCCGGCGGGAAGCAGTGGTGCTTGTTTTTAATGACGGCCCTTCTTTGCTTAGAGCCCTCTGCGGAAGGATTCTAAGAAAGATTAGAGGACATTTTTAATGCACATTTGAAAAATATGATTCAAAGCTCATACTTTCCATATTTGTTAACAGTAAAGAGTACAATCATCACGGTCAGAAAGTGTAAGGTACCGGGTAAGGGCTTTGCCGCAAAGAAGCTGAAAAGTGAAGTGCTAGTTTCACTCTGCTATCGAGAATTAGGAAGACAGGGTCCTCTCCCCACCCTGTTTTTTGGCCAAGGGCAAAGATTGAGGTTTCCAAGCAGCAATGTCCATTTTTAAAGTGCTGCTCAGTACCAACTGCCATGGCCTCAAGTCCCTGCGGCCTGTGGCCATCGCTGATCTTAGCTAGATCAGGCCAGAAATGTTGATAACACAACCATGCGTGTTTCTCAGGCTTCCAATATGCATGAGAAAATTTTTTTCCCTGGTTGTGCTCTGAAGACTGGCTACTACGTTATCTTTGTGGATTGCTTCACAGGTAAAGGAATTTTAAAATAAAGTTTTTTGTGTTCTCCAGTAACAAAATCACTGCACAGGGTTTAAGAAGCACATACCTGATAGTCAAGTGATGTCTTTTTGACATATTTACTGTGATATCTCACAGTTGGCATACGAGTTCACCTTCTAGAGTCACCAATAAGAACCCAAACCATGAGTGAGATAGAATAAAATATTCCTGGAATATTCCCTAAAATGGTCATGGTGCCTCTGGTCTTCCAATGAGAATCATGTTTATTCCACTGTATGTATGTAAATGTGACCAGGACACGGTTTGCTGGCAAAGCCACCGTATTGAAAACCAAGTACAGTCATCTCTCGTTATCCCTGGGGGCTTGGTCCCAGGACCCCCCTCAAATACTGAAATCCACAGATGCTCACGTCCCTCATATAAAATGGTGTGGTATTTGCACATTAGTTACTCACATCTGTATACTTTAAATAGTCACTAGATTACTTATGATACTGACACAATGTAAACACTATGTAAATAGCTGTTATGCTATATTGTTTAGGGAATAATGACAAAGAAAAAAGTCTACACATGTTCAATACAGACACAACCGTCCTTTTATTCTGAACATTTTTGATCGGTGGTTGGTTGAATCCACAAATGTGGAACCCATGGGTATGGAGGGCCAGCTACTCCCCAAACAATCTACATGTTGATATGCTTTTGCCAACACAGATACCTTCAAATGCAAAGGCATTTTGTTTCAGAGAGTAAATAAAACAATACTTATTCTAGAAAAGCAGTAGTGATCTTCAAAATACTTCAGATAATTTTGTACCTGGTCCCAAGAGTACCAATCATTCTCACTAGCATGAGTGAACAGATGAAAGGTCACCAGGGCTTCGGGGGACTTGAAAGTAAGAAAAAAAGTAAGAGACAAAGCCCATGCAAACAATTCCTTAGGACTTGGCCTGATGTGGGGCAGGCAGGTATGAGGATGGACACAGAGAGGTGAGGGCTTCCAAGGATCTCCGCAGAGGGTAACTCTATCTCCGTCCCTCGTACATTCCATCCCCAGTAAAGCGTCTCTCTCAGTTGCCTGGGCCTTCTGATGTTTGGATCTCAAAGTAAGTCGTCTTTTCTTTGGGTTTTGCTTTCCTGTAGCAACCAAAAATACGAATCGAACTTAAGAGAAATAAATAAGCAGTCAGTGTGTGTTGATAAACTGGTGCAAAGTCTTATGCACGAATAAATCTCAAAACAAAAAGAAAGCAAGGCCAGCAAGCACTAAAGAAGAGAAGCGGCTTGCAAGCTACGGCCCAGGAGCCAGATCGGGCTCACGGCCTGTTTCTGTACAGCTCATGAGCTAAGAATGGTTGTCTATATTTTGAAATAGTTGGAAAAAATAAAAATGAAAATATTCCATGACCTTAAAAGAATTAGATGAAATTCAAATTTCAATGTTCATAAATGAAATTTTAAAATTTTACTGGACTCCAGACACACCCATCCCTTTATGTATTGTCTGTGCTGCTTTTCCGATGGAGGGCAGGGCTGAGCAGTGGCAGCAGAGGCCCTGTGGCCCCGCAGCCTGAGATACGTACCAGCCAGCCCTTTGCTGGAAGAGGCTACAACCCCCAGAGCACAGGGGTCGGCATTCCGCTTGGAATCTGGTGATTTGGGGCACCTGTCATTACTTCCTTCACCTGCAGAATGGGCACGTAACCACAGCAGCTGGCACACGATGTTTTGGGAGGATTAGGTGAGAATAACCACACACGGTCAACACTCCGTAAAGCTTAGTTAGAGTTACAATCACTCCCATTCCCTGATGTTTTCTACTGAAAGTAGGGCAGGAGTAATTGAACAGTCTCTCCGGTGGCAGACTGTGGCTACTATTTGTAGAATTAGTATAGTGGAGGAGACAGACAAGGAAATAAGTGATTATTGTAAAGTACAAAGAGGACTGGAGAACAGAGGGTGAATGGGAGGGTGGGGCTCGGAGCCTGCGCACCTCCCTGGCAGGGCAGGAACGGTTGTGACAACAGAGTGAAGTGATTCAACAGGACATCTCCAAGATGACCAAGTGCTGTTAACAAACTATAATGAAACATATTTAAATCAGATAATAAGGTATTAGCTCTGTATTTCTGCCACTGGGGACCAAAAAGAAGGAAATCCTTAGCAACTAGAAAATGTGATTTCAGTTAAAATAGAGTATTTGCCCCTTTTCAGTACCAAGACATCCAGAATTTCTCCGAGTGAGTTTTACAGAGCCCCTCTCTGCCGTGGGCATTGTTGGCACAGCTTAGTAACTGGCCTCACCTGGCCTCACCTTGCACGTCCTCAGTCAAAAGCAGGATGACCTGGGGATCTGCACGTCAGCAAGTGCCCTCTGTGATCCTTCTGCCCACTAAGTTTTGACACTCACTGAGGAAATTGCACAATTTGCAAGAAGAGTGGAGAAAATATGAGATTTATTAAATACCTATTATGTGCCAGGCAATGAATTGGTCACTGTCACCTACTTAATCTCATTGAATTTTCACAGCAACTCTCTAAAGTAAGTATTATTGTGGCTATCGTGCAGGCTTGGAATTAAGGCTCTGCAGGGTTCGATGGCATTCCTGACGCGGCGTGACCACATCCAGTTTCGAACTCAGGCCTTTATCACTCCACAGACTCCTCTCTGTCTGCTCCACGGGACACCCGGGTCCTTGCCGTGGAATCTGTAGAACTGAGTCTGTGAAAGGACCTGAGAAACACCTCACCAAGCACTTTTCCTTCCTTTTCTTTTTTAATTCCTTGAATAGTAGAATCTGAAACTCCAGTATAGCACGCTCTCTGTCATAAGAATTTTGTGAAGAAAATCACTAAAGAATCTGAGCCAACAATTGCTAGAGGACAGAAGATCGATTTTAAAATGCTCCCAACTCAGAGTTATTAATCTTGGGGTGAGCTGGGGATCTTGGTGGCCCTGCAGTCAACATGGTCCTCTGCCACGCCGTTTAGAACAGATAACTGTCAACTAAAAACGCATATTCATGCTCTCCATTTTTTCCTTATGTAAGGTCAATGGCTATTTTGTTTTGTTTCCCTTATAGAAGTTCTGGGAGTGAAAAAAAAAAAGACACAAATAAATTTCTTCTAAACCCTGGATAGAGGAAATGGAGGACATGGGGTGATATTGTGACCCCTTCAGAGGGTGCGTCTGACACGGACCCCCCCCCCCCAGAGTCCCGAGCACTGGAGGGCTTCACCTCTGCAGTTTCTCAGCATCCTCGATGGTCTCTGGCAAAGCGACCCCCTTGGTCTCCGGAAGAAGCAGCGTCATTCCCCCGGCAGCCAGGCCCAACGCCGCTTCAGAGGAAACAGGGTGCAAATGTAGTCATTAGAACACAGCCAATATGCCAACCCCATCACAGAAATGATTACTGCTAGACAGCACAGGTGAGAGAGATGCTAGTTTTTAAAAAAAGGTTGCCAGGAACACTTAGAAAAGAAAACTAAAACAATAGGATAACTGAGGAAATGCCAGAGTATCCTTCATGTTACTGCTATAGAAGTATAAAGTTCCCTAGAAACTGATGCTTAAGTATCAGGGGACATGCTGATGCAGGTATGTACACATATGATTAGATACAGGGCACAGTCAGTACATACACATGGGCATTATTACTCTTTCCTTCCACTTCCCTCTCTCCCTCCTCCTTCCTTTCTTTCTTTCTCTCCCCGCTCTCTTCCCGCCCCCGCTTGCATTCACCTGTGCCCAGGCATGGCAGGTCTCTGCACGTAATCAGCCATTTTTGCCTTCCACCAAGTGGGTAAGCAGGGTCTTGGAGGTCCCCTGGCCCAGGTCTGGAGAGAGAGGTAAGAGTGACCTCTTCCTTCTCTAATCCAACTCCATCAATAACGAAGCTGATACAGAACTTTGATTCTCATTTGTCTCATCATGTCTGTTCCTGATTGTTAAGATCTGGATGCAGAAGAGGGGTGAAAATTTAGTACCTTCAAGACTCCAGCAATTACATGTTAAATGAATAAGAGTTGGTGATCAAATTCATAAGAAAGCAGAAACTAAGCCAAAATATGTCTCATATTCTATCCTGTAGGGTGAATTATTGGATTCTGGAGTCATAGGATGTAAATCTCTGTCCTACCTCCTAGGAGTGGCATCTTATCTTTCCCATGAAGCAAGACAGAAGGAGCCAGGAGACAACTGAAGAGCACACACCATCCTTGCCTTCTGTAAACCGGCTGAGGGGTACCATTCCCTTCACTCAGCAAATAGCTACTGAGTTCTCACACTGGACCCGTCACTGAGCCCACTGCCAGGCTGGAAAGAGGAATAACTGCTCCACGAAGCCTTACCAAACACAGCAAGGGGCAAGTCTTGCCACATCTCCATCAGCCTGAAGACCACGAAGGGAGTGATGATCCCACCGACATCACACAGGGAGGAACACACCATCATTCCAAGGTTTCTGACAAAATACAGAGGACAAAAATGGTTACATATCTGTGATTCACTTTTCCAAATGTCAACTGGTCCTAGAGCAGACATGGTGCCCACACTGTGGCTTGCTGTGGGTGTCCAGGGCTCAGCACCCCGGAGGAGCCGTGGGGACTAGCCGACATGGTCCTGAGAGGAGGTAATGGGCTAGAGCTGCCCGCTGCCCATGCGACTGAAGAGAGCCTGCCTCTCGTTAATTACATGTCCAAATATTGAGCTCTCAGGTATATAATTCCTGAAGGATTGCTACAAGCCTGAGGAAGATAACAGCAGCACGTGCTACCTGCTCTATGTCTCACATTTACCTCGCTGCTGTCCCAGGGCCATGATCTGTCCTCACCCGTGAGGAAAGCCGAGTGTCTGGGGGTGCCTGGTTCTAGCAGGATCTGGGCTCCTCTCAGCCCTAGGATTCTGGGAGGGGGGCCAAGCCAGGAGGGAAATCTTGACTAATCTGCCCCAGAGACTGACTGACCAAGTCATCAGCTCGATAGCCAGCAAGTGACCCTCAGAGGATATTTGTGGGAAAAACGGAAAGGAAGGGGAGTAATTACAATGAAGGGTCTGTCATTGGAGCTCTCGGTTAAGCCATAAGTGTCAAGGAATGTGGTTCCATGTGCATGTAACTCAGAGAAAAGATGTGTTGCACCAGGTAACAGGCACAAGGTAACAGGCCTTAAGTATACGTTCCCAAGGAAAAAACTGAATTCTAGCTTCTAGCACTGGTACCATGGGGGCAGAGGGGATCTACAGTGTTGATGAGGACACTCTGGTGCTGAATTCGGAGTTGAGGAAGACAGGGCTGATTGTTGAGATTCTAACTTAAAGTTTCTTTTCTGTGGCTGAAAGTTTTTGTCTCCGTTGAGAGGAGAATGTTCCTGGGAGAATGAGATTTAAACTGTGATCAGTCACTTTTTCCACCTGATGAGTTGCTAGGGATGCTCAGAGCAGGTGTTAAGAGCTGGAAGGGAAAGAACTTCCACCAGGGAACCGGATATGTGTGAAGGGTTAAGGAAGGGTAAACAGGGGATGTTAAGGAATGGAGGACAAAGAAAGCTAGAAGGGAAGCATGTAGAGAAACCATCTACTTGAAATGCCCCTCCTTATCCTTAGGAATATTCTTTGCTCTGAAATTTACTGTCTGATATGAATATAGCCTTTCTAACTTTCTTTTGATTCATGTTAGTATGGAATATCCTTTTTCATTCTTTTACTTTTAAATTATCTTTCCCCTTATATTTAAAGTGAGTTTCACATAGATGGTATGTAGTAGTTGGGTCTCACTTTTTTGTCCAATCTGACAATTTCTGCCTTTTAACTGGGGTGTTTAGACCATTTATATTTTTTATTATTACTGATATGATTGGGTTTAAATATATCATCTTGCTATTTATTTTCTTTTTGTTTCATTTGTCCTTTGTTACCCTTTTCCTCTTTTTCTGCCTTCTTATAAATTGAGTATTTTAAGTGATTCCATTTTATCTTCTTTGATGACTTAATAGCTATAACTCTTCATTAAGTTTTTTTAATTTTTTAATTTTTGCTTTAGGTCTACAGTGCACACCTTAAACTCATCACAGTCTACCTTCAAGTGATATTAGAACATTCATGGATTGTATGTGAACCTTACAGTAGTTCATTTACATTTCTCCACCCCCCCAGCCTTTGTACAACACATTATTATATTTGCTTTGGTTTGCAAACTACAGCCCTCAGGCCAGATCCAGCACTGTTATGGCCTTTGAATTAAGAATGGTTTTTACATGTTTAAAGGGTTTTCTTAAAAAGAAAGAAAAATATGCAACAGAGACCATATGTGACCCACAGAGCCTAAAACATTTACTATCTGGCCCATTACATAAAAAGTTTGCCAATCCCTGCTTAAAACAGTTCATTGTCTTCTACAGTAAATAAACAGAAAAAAAAAAAATATTTCTATTTACCCTTGTAGTTACCATTTTTAGTGCTCTTCATATTTTTCTGTGTATCAATCCATATTTCCATCTGATATTGTTTTCCTTCCTTCTAAAAGACTTGAAAGACTAATATTTTCTGGAATGCAGGTTTGCTGATAATAAATTCTTTCAGGTTTTGTATGTTTGAAAAAGTCTTTATTTTCTACCTGTTTTTGAAAGATATTTTTGCTGGGCCAAGAATTCTAAGTTGGAAGGTTTTTTCTTGGTTTTTTTTTTTTTTTTTTTTCCGGTACTTTGAAAAAGTTGTTCTACCATCTTCTTGTTTGCATCATTTCCAATGAGAAATTTGCTGTCATTTCTTATCTTTGCTCCTGTTGGTGATGTGTCTTTTTCTCTGAATGCTTTTTAATATTTTTATAATGTGCCTTTCTTGATGCATTTGTGGCCGGGAGCTATTGAGATTCTTCAATCTGTACATACGTAGTTTTCATCAAATTTGAAGAAAGTTTGGCCATTATTTCTTCAAATATTTTTTCTGTCTCCCTGTCAACTTCTTCTACTCTCCTTTACAGACTCCAATTACGTGTACTGGAATTATCCCACAGCTCACTGATTCTCTGTGTCATTCTTAATAGTTTCTACTGCTGTCTTCATGTTTACTAATCTTTTCTTCTATAACACTGAATCTGCTATTAACTCATGTGGTATAGTTTTCATCTCAAATATTGTATTTTCATCTCTAGCAGTTTAATTTGGGATGTTTGAAAAATATTTCCCATGTCTATACTTAACGTGTTCAATCTTTCCTCTAGGTTCTTGATCATAGAGAATACACGTGTAATAACTGTTCTAATATCCTGTTCACTCATTCTATCATCTGTGTCACTTCTGAGTCAGTGTGAATGGATTTATTGTTCTTCTTGAGATAGGTTCTCTTTTCCTGCTTCTTTATATGCCTGGTAATTTTTGATTGCATGCCAGACATTGTAAATTTTACCTTCTTCAGTGCTGAATTTTGTATTCCTAAAAATAATCTTAAGCTTTGTTTTGAAAACATGGTGAAATGAGGAACAATAAATCAGGAAAATATCTATCCTTTTGAGTCTTATTTTTAAGCTTATACTGTTGCAACCATTTGCATAATTTCTTACTCCCTGCAACAAGTGCTTATAAGTTTATATTTCCTTCCCAATCCCTCCCTCCCTGACCTCATCTTAATTGGCTATATCATCTCTTAGAAAATTTTAAAACAAGAATAGAGTTTGAATTTAATTGAATGCCTTTCAGTATCTATGGAGATAATAGTATGAGTTTTCTCTTTTGATTTATTAACATGAATTACACTATTAGATTCTCTAATATTGAGCTATCTTTGCACTCCTAGAGTAACTCATCTTAGACATGGTATATTATTATTTCAATGTGCTTCACCATTTGATGATATATTATTAAGAATTTAAAATCAATATTCTTAAATAATATTGGTCTATAGTTTTCTTATTTCTTTTATCTTTGTTGTTTTTTGGTACTGATATCATGCTAACTTTATTTTAAAATCTTGAAAACTTTCCTCCTTTGCCTATGCTTTAGAGCAATTTGAATATCACTGGAATTTTCTGTTTATTAAATGTTTCATAAAATTCCCCTTTGAAACCATTGTAGATTTCTTCTTTATCATTATTTAGGGCCTTCCTTGTCATTACATTTTTTTCCATACATTCAATTTTGATAAGATTTTGATTCTTGTCATATTTTTGTTTGCATTTCCTTAACATGCTTTTGTGCCTTCTTTTCTTTTTAATGTTTCTGAGGAAAAGTTGTACTGCAAGTATGTAACATATTGTTAGGTTTTGCTTTATAATCAAATCGGGGAATCGTCGTCCATTTTTTTTCCAGTAGAGGAGCTGAGAAATGTCAGAAATGTTTGGCCTTAATTCTATCATTAGCTTTTATGTCTCGATTTTTATTGCTTCTGGTGTCTTTTCTTTTTCAATGTCTTGGTTATGTGTATTTTTTCCTGATAATTTGGAAGGGTTATATTTTATCTGAAGGACTACCTTTACAACTTCATATAATACAATTAATATTCTATTCCTTCAGATAGCATTGATTAATTTCCTGTGATGACAAATTATAAAATTAATATATTTCTACTTCCTCCTCAAACCATTTCCTCCATTCCCTGATTGTAGTTGATTATATCATTATTTTTAGAGTTTGCCTTTATATTAATATCTTAAAATATACCCATATTATGTAACATAGTTTCCAATGATATGCTTTTTTAAGGGAATCAGTGTATTATACCATCTCCAACATTCCCTCTCTCTTCTCTTTTCAATCTTGGTTAGTTATAATATTTCTTTATTGTCAAGTTTGTGACATTTACATTCTGTTTTGTAATGGCATTCCTTTTAGTCTCAAATTCAATGATTATCACCAATAATTTTGATACATAACTCCATTCATCACTGTGTTCATTGAATTTTTTTTCTCTAACAGCTTTTTTGGGAAAGGTTCATAGGAAACATAATCTTTGAGATATTTTTAAATGATTGACAATTGTTTTTATATAGGAATGAGAGTTTGGCCTTTCTCCATAGAGAACCAGGCATTCAGTAGCTTTGACAGTTTACATTTTGAGTGAGTCTCTTGGGTCCAGTGGCCATGACAAGGGAATTGTTTGGCCTGGCTATTTTAGACTCTGGGCTCAGAACTGCCAAATATAGAAAGTTTTTTCTTTAATTTGCTTTCACCTCCTTGTACTCAGTCCAAGCAACTTTTTGCAAATGAGAGTCTAAGACATGGCCTTTAATGAAGGAATAGGCAGGAAAGAGAGAACTGGGGTCACGCTCGTGTCTCTGGCTTGCCGAGGAGCTCAGAGCCATGCAGGTGTGAGATGAGACTGGGCAGCTGGGATAGTTCTTAGAAACCATGGATATGATGACAAAGGGAGGAGAAACCATTTATACTGAGGAAAAAAGGAGTTTAAGGTAATATGCAAAATTCTAACAAAGGTCAGGTTAAGGTAAGGGCAATTTTTAAAATTGAAATAAAGTGGTTACTTTTATAATTAAAATAATCTTCATTAAAACTAAGTCTTCTAAGATAGAAGGCAATAAGTACTTGCAAAGACACCAAATGATATTAGTAACTATGAAAAAGTAAGGTCACAAAAATACTACTACCTCCCAGAACAACTTTTAAAAAGCCACCAATCCCAAACGCCAGTGAGGATGTGGAGCACCTGGATCTCTCTAGTGTGGCCGGCGGGAAGACGGACTAGTACAGCCACTTTGGAAACCGTTTGACTTTGCTCATAGAGTTAAAAACACACTTACCATGTGACGCAGCAATCCTACTCCTAAGTTTTTACCCAACAGAAATGAAAACATGTGTCCACTCAAAGATTTATACCTGAACATTTATAACAGCTGTATCATAATCACTCCAAACTGGAAGCAGTCCAAACATACCTTAAGTGGTAAAAGAATAAACCAGGGGTGGGGAAACTTTTCATGTTGGAAGCCTGCATTCATTTAGCTGTAATCAAATAAGGCCACATTCAAGAAACTTCAGTTAGATATATGAAAAATATACATTATTTTGTAAAAATATAACTATGTACTTAATAATTTCAAAAAATGAAAACTATTTGTTAATTTTAAAGTTAACTAACCTTTTTAGTGACTTTGTTGTATCTGCTTTTTGTTGGAAAGCATTTGATTATTTGGTGGCAGCATGGAGGTCTGCAGTTACAGTTGATCTTCTACATGGGTATCAGTCATTTGTGATCTTAAGGGTGTCTTGATTTGAGTTAGGTAAGAGAATGTAGACTCACAGCAATAGTGGTTGAAAAGCAAGAAAGCATTTTTTGGGGCATGTTGCCAAAGGCGTGGGCATTCTACTGCATTTTTCCATATTTCAATGGGATCTTTCTTAGCATCAAACAATGACTTTAAAATGTCATCCACTGAAAGCTCAATCAATTCCATCTGTAGTTCTGCCTTGGTGACATCAACTAGTTGAGGCTGAAATGCTAATTTGAGTGTGATGTCATGATTCTCAAAGTTAGTGAACCTTTCCTTGTATTCTCCATTGAATAGGTCTGTAACAGCTGCGTATTCTTCAAATGATTTTCATATATCATCCTGCTAATCAATGACCTTTGCTAACTGGGGAAAATGTTCACCCAAAATTTCCTTTTGAAGAAAAAGTGTTTTGAAAAAAAATAGCTTTTTTTGAAATGCTTGGATTTTTTGCCACATATCATATATAGACTTAGTTTTGCCTTGCAAAGAAATATTCGAGTCATTTTGATTTGACATGATATCACACAGAAATGCTACATTCCTATAGAAATCTTCTTTCAGTAATTTACATTGCTGATTCTGTTCTTCATAAAATTTTGGATGAAAATTTTATCTGTTCTCACAGAGATAAAATTTTGGCTAACACCTCTCCCTGCAATAGCCAATGCACTTTGGGATGATACAGCAAATCCACACTGAATATCTCATCATTTAACTTTAGCATGTTACAAAACTGAGGATACCATATTGCATTTGCATGAAAACAGTTAAAATACTTATAACTTGTTGCAAAGTGTCACTTAACATAGTAGCTGTAGCACAGAGATTTTGCTGATGCAAGATACAATGAAAAAAATGAGAGCATCTGGATCTGTTAATACTTTTTTTTTATCTAGGCAATAAACCTTTCATGTTTTCCTGTCATGGAAGGTGCACCATCTGTACACGCACTCACTAAATTTACCAAATTCATTCCAACTTCACTACATTTATCTTGAAAGTCATTGAGGATATCTATTCCCCGTGTTCTGTTCACAAGAGTGCCCAAAGTGAGTAACTCATCATAGCAAAGAAAATCTTCTGCTATGATCTGAATGAAGTATAAAACCTGTGTCGAGTCAGTAGTATCAGTTGATTCATCCAAAGAGATTGAATAATATATATTTTCCTTTTGAAGTGTTGCATGAAGTTGTTCTGGTAAGTTGAAGGCTAATTCATGCTGCCAATCTGTTACGGTTAAAACTGCCTCCTTAAAAGAGGCGGTTGTTTGTACTTTTAAACCTTATCAGGGTCTAAGCATCCTACAACTTCAACAATGCATTCTTTCACAGTTTCTACATCACTGAATGGCTTCCCTTTTCTCCTGAAAAATAACCTACTTTATAAGTTGCTTCAGTGGCAGTATTTCCAGGTCTTACTGCTGCTTGAAAGAACTGTCTTTGTTTTGCTTTTCATCTTTTAATTTCTGCAATACAACCTTTTGCGCCTCTCCCTCTAATTTAAAATATTTTTCGTCCTTATGAGTGTTATAATGCTAATAAGCACTGAATTTCTTTATGTTAATATTGTAGTATCATAAAGCAAGCAAATCATCTTATCTTTAGCAGTAACTCAATAATATTGCAATCCTCATTAAAAAATCTATTTTCTTCCCTTAGAGTTCTCTTGGTCTTCTTTGACGTGATGGGTGTTAAGCAGACAGACTTAAAAAATACTGTCGAGCTGTGAAACTATTCACAAATTCCACTTCCAGCAGAAGCACAGTGCACCATTGTCAAAAGCTGATAACAGACTGGCGCACTCGACCCCCATAAACTCTCACCAACCAGCCTCGTGCGGTAGTGGCGCCAGCCAGGTGGGGGAAGTTAGAACTAAATCATGAGCGTAGCAGCTGTCAATTTAGCCCCTATGGCTTCCTAATTCTCTAATTGTGCTGGCAAATTTGGGAGGATTATTTCATCAAAATTTATTTTATTTTTTGGCATTTTGAATACATTCATTTAAAAATAAAATAAGAACACAAAAGATGAACAAAAACGTATTAATAAAAATAAAAGGATTTGTTCTGTAAAATTTGGATTCAGTCAAAAGGCCATACTTACAGACCTAGGCCACATGTGGCCTTAAGGCCACAGGTTCCCCACTCCTGGGATAAATGAACTGGTACATTCACACATTGGAATGAACTAGTGAGCAATAACAAGGAATGAACATTGATAGATGCAACAAGGCAGATGAATCCCATTACGCTAAGGGAAAGAAGCCAAACACAAAAGGCTACGTGCCATATTATTCCATTTACAAGCCACTCTGGGAAAGGTAAAACTATCGGGACAGAAATCGGATTAGTGTTTTCCAGAGGCTGTAGGTGGGGAGAAAGGGATTGACTGCAGAGAGACATGAAAAACCTTTGGGGGTGATGGAAAGATTCTCTGTTTTGATTGTGGTGGTGGTTAACTGACTATATGTTGTCATAACTCACAAAACTACATTTTAGAAACAGTGAATTTTATTCTGTGTAAATTGAACCTCGATAAACCTGACTTTAAAAAAGTAAGTTCTTCAGCACCAAAAGGACAAGCAACACAAGTAAATAGAGATAAATTGGACTTCATCAAAATCAAAACTTCTGTGCATCAAGGGATACAATCAACAAAATAAAAAGGCAACCTATGGAATCGAAGAAAATGTTTGCAAATCATGTTTCTGATAAGGGGCTGATATCCAGACTATATAAAGCAATCCTACAACTCAACAACAATGAACAAACAAACAGAAAAACAATTCAAATATGAGAAAAGGACTTGAGCAGACATTCTCCAGAAAGATAGACAATGACCCAAGAGCACGTGAAAAGCTGCTCACCGTCATGGCATCGCTAGGGAGATCAAACCACGGTGAGCTAGGGGAGCACGCCCGCTAGGGTGGTGTCTGCCAAACAGAAATGGTGAGTGCTGGGAGGATGTGGAGCGATTGAGACCCTTGTGAACTGTTGGTAGAAACGTGAAATGGTGCGGCCTCTATGGAAAACATCACGGCAGTTCCGCAAAACACTGAAAATAGAATTACATTGTGATCTTATCATTTCGCTTCTGGCACGTACCCCAAAGAATTGAAAACAGAGTCGTGAAGAGATATTTGTGTACCCATGTTCGTAGCAATACTATTCACAACAGCCAAAGGTGAAAACAACGCAAGTATCATTGACAGAGGAATGGATAAACAAAACATGGTGTATATATATACACAATGGAATATTATTCAGCCTTAAAAAAAGTATAAAATTCTGACACGTGCTACAGCATGCATGAACCTTGAGGACATTATGCTAAGTGAAATAAGCCAGTCATACAAAGGCCAGTACTGTGTGATTCCACTTATATGAGGTTCTCAGAGTAACCGAAGTTACAGAGACAGAAAGTAGAAGGCGGCTGCCCGGGGCTGGAGGGTGGAGCGGCTGGGAGTTGTTTCACGGCTACAGAGTTTCAGTTCTGCGCGATGAGAAGACTTCTGGAGACTGGCTGCACAGCAACACGAGGGGACTTAACACTACCGAACTGTGCACGTAAAAGTGGTTACGATGGTAAATATATGTGTTATTTTATCGCAATTGTTTTCCAAGTTCCTCAGTTCACAGAACAGAAATGTGCCGCAATGGAAAAAGCACAGGCTTCGGTCAGAAAGGTGTGGTTCTGGCCCCAGCCCGGCCGCTTTCTAGCGGTGCGACCCTTGCACTGTCTCTGTCCCTCTCTAGCCCTCAGCTCCCTCGTTTATAAAATGGGATGATCATGCTCAGGAACCAATTTAAGGGCTAAACCAAATCACCGGTCTGGAAATGCTCCGTGCATCACTGCACAGGGCAGCTGTTGAAGAAAAGGGGGCCCAGAGGTGTCAGAGAAGCTGCTGGAGTGTACACAACTAGTTAGTGCTAAGGACAGGATTCGGACTCAGGTCTCCGGCCTCCCTGTCCCGTGCTCCCTTCTCCGTGCCAGCTGCCTCCTTTCTGGCACTTGTCCTCTCTGCAGAGCGCAACCCGCCCTTCTATCATTTCACATTTCCTGCTATAATTAGGAGTGGACCCCTCTTTGAGGTCCAACCCCATCTCTCTGAGCATGAGTTCCTAACAATGCCGCTTGACGTCCAAACTGATCAACCAGCCCTTGGAGCATCTTGGGGAAACGTTTTGGAAATGCCGGTCCCTGCAGAGCCTGGCTCACCTGACGACGCCTTTCGTGCACTCACCTGATGAACGTGGGGTACAGCTCGGCATTCACTAGGCAGAGCATTTGGAGCACAATGGTGACTCCCATTCGGCCAACACAAGCCACCGTGATTTTCAACCAGTGCAGGTCTGGAAGGGACACGGAGAGGGTGTGTCAGTGGGCGGGGGCTCTGTTCCCTGAGCTACTTCAAGAAGCCCTGGTGGGTTCTACTTGGACTGCTAGAGCTGGCGGGGCTGAAACGTTGCTTTATCTAACCTTTTCATTTTGGAGTCAGTAAACTGAGTCCTGAGAGATTTCTGGACACGTTTGAGAAGACTCTATTTTGCAGAAGAAAGAACGAGCTTTTTGAATCTCAGCTTGGTTTCCTGAGCTCTAAAATGGGAATAATTATATCCAGTTCATAGGTTGCCATGAGACTTAGAAACATTGCCTGTCAAATGTCCACTGTCATCACAGAATTATAAAGTTGGCTTTTCGATTATTATGTAGTGGTGACCACTGCCAGCACGGTGCCTGGAACACACAGGCACTCAATAAATGTAGTTCCTTTAGGCACTAGTTCCCAAACTAATGGAACAAATTTCTAATTCTCAATCTAATGTTTGTTTCCAACACATTTTTAACTGAAACGTCTTTCATAATGGTCTCAGAGACTGAGAATTAGGGCTGTAAGCTTTGTCTCACCCTGGCAGGCTGCGGTGGGGTTCTCCATCACCTGAAGGTCCAGGAGGAGCCCCCTCCTGGGGGCTGACCAACGAATTGGGTTTAACCAGAAGGAACCACAGATCCTCGGTAGCCACTGTCACCTGCTTTACGTGGTTACCCCAACACTAAAATGCAAGTGGCCTTGTGAGATGCCAGCTCAGTAAAAAGGCCTCACAGACATTATGTCATCTCGACACTTGTCCCCAGACATGGGCTACATACAGGAATCTTGATTCATGTCACTCGGCCAGCATGAGGTTCCAAGAGATAGTGGAACTCGCTCACCCATGGGTGCAACACGGTCCCTCTGGCCGCCTGCGGCCCTCCGGCCTGGCGGAGAACCCGCACTGAGCCTTCCGTGAAGGACCACACCCCTTTTACCTGCTGAAAGACAAAGGGGCTCTTTCAGGTGCTCCAGGGGAGCTCCTTGCGCACCGGTCTTTCATCTGGCGAGAGCACTGCTGGGGACGAACCGCAGCCCTGACCGCAGAGAACTGGCCCTGTCTCCACCCCGCACCTCGGGGGCCACACGTCACAGCGGCCAGAGGGACCCACTTAAAACTGAAGTCAGGTCAAGTCAGCCGCCCGCTCAAAGCAGACTCTGGGGATAAAGCCCACGCCTGGCTCTCTCCTGGCGGACTCCACGCCTCCCTCTGCCCACTGCCCGCGGGCTCAGCCCATTCCGATCCCGGGAATTCCGAGCTGTTCCTCCAATGCCACACTCTCCTGACCCTGAGGTCCTCGCATCTGCTGGGAACACTCTGCCCAGATTTGTACGTGGCTCATTCCCACTGCACTTAGGTGTCCTAAGGCCTCCCTGCCCCCTGGAGAGAGAATTAGCACCCATCACTCCCCAGCCTTCTCTGTTTTTCCCTAGGTCAGCTCCATGGGGCAGGAACTTTCTCTGCGTTGCCAGCTGCAGAGATCCTAGGACCTAGCGGCATACCGGCCACACGGAAGGCCTCAGGATGTTTCCTGGAGGGGGACTGAATGACTCTCGGGCAATGTGATAGGACTCAGGCAGGGGCAGGTGGAGAGCGCAGGAGCCGGGAGGACCCTCCCGGGGAGGGCACGATGCCTGAGCTCTGCCAGGTGAGGATTGGACAGACTCAGCCCTCGGTCACTGTCTTTCTCGGTGCTCACTGCTGTTGCTTTTTAAAAGTCTGCCCCTTCATCACGCCTTACCGGGATTCTAGACACAGGGAGATGGGGAGAAAATGGGGAACATCTGTTTCAGATCCATTCTGCCTCTTGTCCTGTGTTCTCTGCTTTTTCCCCACAAAAGGAAGGAGAAGAAAACTGAGCTTTCTTTCCCACCTTTTTATATGTCCAGGCTGATCTACACAGCCTGGGTCTTGAGAGTACATATTCCATGGGACATTTTCCCCGTGCCCTGCACGAGAGCCTGCCACATGACCCACTGAACCAAATGCAGTGCACCAGCAGGAAGAACTGAGAAAATAGCAAATCTGCTTTTGTGTTTGTTTAACATTTCCAGAAGCAATGAACGTGAAAGGCAATTTACGTAACACTGAAAGTAACACTGACAAATTTAACCTGTAGCTTGGTTTACCTTGGATCGTAAGAACTACAGATGGAAGGACACGTCCACCAAAACGGCCACTGTTAAACAGACTAGCGATAGCAAGTGTTGGAGACGGTGGGGGACAATGGGAACGCTCCTGTGTTACGGGGGGAGCAGGAAGTGCTCACCGTGACCGCTCTGGAAGGCCATTTGGCAGCGTCTACTGCAGCGACACATACGCCTCCCTCAGACGCAGCAAATGCGCTCCCGGACCTGTACCCACGGGAGACGAGGGCCTCTGCCCGCCAGAAAGACACGTGCAAGGATGCCTTTCATCCCAGCGAGCGGCAAACGCCGGAAACAACACAAGCGACGCTCAGCAGTGGGGTGGTTGCGTAGTGCAACAGTCGTACGGTGGAATGCTACACGATGATTTTTAGAAAGTACGAGCTACACTCTCCTGTGAAAACGTGGATGAATCTCACAGGTGCAATGAAGCAGTGAATGAAGGGAGACCAGAAAAAGTGCATTTGGTGTGGTTCTATGTATTTGCAGTTCAAGAACAGTCGAAACTAAGGTGTGGAGAAAGAGGTCAGAATTGTGGTGATGCGGGCAAGGGTCGGGGCAGGGGGTATTGGTTGTGAAGGAGCAAAGAGAACCTTCTGAGGTGCTGGGGGTGTCCTGTGTCTTTGTCTAGGGTCACACTGCAGGTGTATACATATGTCAAAATTGATTGAGGTATATACTTATAATTTGTTCATCACATATATGCTACATCTCAATTTAAAGTTTAAAAAAAAAATTGTAGACTAAGGCAACACTTTGCCTTTGTTCTTGTTCCAGAGGCTTATCAAAAAGTTACAACACTATTCCCATAATTCGATTTCTTGGAAAATGATGAAAATGGTCAACTCACCATGTGAGATAAAAACCATGCTGAAGCAAGCTGCCCCTACCACCAGATTTGACACGGCCAAGGGGTAGCGGCGGCCGAAGCGATCAATGGTGACGAAGATGATGAAGGCCGCAGGGAACTCAACCAGAGCAGAGTAAAGGAAATCCAGATGGAGGTTCCCGCCGGTGGCACCCATGTGCATGATGAGGCCCTGGTAGAACACAGAGCTGCTGAACCTGTGCAAAGAGGAGGGTTCGAGTCAAAGGCAAGCTCCGCGGAAGGGGAGTTTCGAAGATGCCCCCTACCAGCAGGAGAGAAGCGTGTGTCACTTGATTTAGAATGTCCTGGAGCAATATGAGGAGGGGGATACAAATCAGGAGGGGTGTTCTAGAAGGGCCCTTGGTGAGAAACTTCGTTCATGGCAGACGTGAGAGTGTGGCTTCTAGATACACCCCCATGTCTCCTGGAGACTGCAGATGGCCATCGCTACTGTTCAAGGCATACTTGGACGCGTCTGGCCCTGCACCACGCGCTGCACATGCACGCGCTCATCTAGCCCTCCGACAGGCCTACAGGAGGTCGGTGGGAGAAGGCAGTAGGCAAGAGAGAAGCTTCCAGTGTCAGGCTGCTTGGTGAGCTGTGTGACCTTGAGGAAGTTAACTAACCTCTCTGGGCTGCAGTTCCCTCATCTGTAAATGGGATAATAATAGTACCCACCACATTGGTTTGTCTTGAGACTCACTGAGTTAGTGGACAAAAGTGCCTGCTGTAGTTCCTGGCACGTAGTATGTGCTCAGTAAAGATGACCTTTTACTGTTGTCATCATCATCATCTTTCCAAAGTCAAGGACCCAGAATACCACAGAGCAGAGACGCTGGCTGAGTCGTTCCAAGTGCACAATGCACTCCCTCCCCCATCTCACACTGTCTCAGGTGGGCACGCTCATCCGCCTAGCCCCCCACCCGCATCTGGGTGAAATACGGCAACATGACAGAACGCGGCACCCAGACCGTCCAGGCCTCGATAAGTCGCTCTCACGCGAGTCAAAATTTAGAGTGTCCCACGTGTCGCTTTTGGGGAAACAATATTATTTTGGAAGTTCAAAACCTTTCATGATCATATTGGTGTTTACATTGTGAGACGAGATTTTGTTTGATAACAAATTACTCTTATCCCAGCCTGCAAGTTGCCTGTCAGCTCCAAAGCAGACATCTCAACTGATGTTTCTAATTTATAGACCTGTTGTTTTATAAAACCTTGCCCGGAGAAGCACTGGGATGCTTTTGTTTCTGGTCCTAAATTATTCCTCATTGGCCAGAGGGGTCAAGAGAACAGGAAGGAAGGCTCCTGCCTGAGCCCCTGTCCCCACCCAGGCCCTGCAGCCCGTGGAACAGAAACAGTCACCTGTCACTGACAGAGACACTGAGGAAGAGAAGTACCGGTTTGATTTTCCAGGCCACAGACCAGCTCACAAGCGTGCAGGGCTGCCACCTCTGGGCAGAGCCCCCGAATTGCACGTGTCTATTAAAGTAACAGAAACAACTTGTTACCGAGCATTTCCGGTACTGATGCCCGACCCTGTTCTAAGTCCTTTTCACAGATGAGCTCACTAATTCTCCCAGCATGCCTCGGAGATAGGTACTGTTATTACTCCCGTGGCTGACGAGGAAACTGAGTCAGAGAGAGATTGAGGCACTTTTGAAGGCTGCCCAGCCGGGAAGCGGGGGCCAGCCCTCAGCGGCAGTGAGGAAACCGCAGGGTGGTGGGAGGAGGTGTCCGGGGGCCAGGCCTCGTTAAGGCCTTGAGGGCCACCAGAAAGAGTTTGGCTTTGTCCTCTGTGGATTAGGAAGCCCATGGGGGCACGAGCTGGGGAGAGACAGGTCTGTCCAGCTTCAGGGCTCCCCTTGCGGCTTTGTGGAGTGTCACCTGAGGGCGGGGTGGCGGGGAAGCCACAGGCCCCCAGCAGGTGTCTGCATCCGCGTAAGAGACACTACCCGGAGGCTCCAGGCAGGGCTCCCAGCCCACACAGCAGATTCTGGAGACGCCGTGCAGACAGAGCTGAGGAATTTGCCAAAGGACTGGGCTGGGGGTTAGAGCACAGAGGAGTCAGGACACCACCTTGGGGGTGCGTCGGGCGTGGAGGGGAAACCGAGCAGTGCCGCAGAGCAAGCGAACAGTTCCCTCTGCGGTGGCCCCAGCCTCTGCCCTGCGGGTGCCGCGGAACGGGATACTGAGTATCTGCGGGAATCTGCTGGGCTCGGGCGCCGGGCGGGCTGTCTGCAAAGGCTCACGGCCCGGAGTGCAGATGGGCCGGGACCCCAGGGGCAAACACAGGGACGGGGGGTGGGGTGAGGGCGAGTCAGGACAGGGCACGGTGAGCCTGGTGACCAAAGAGCTTGGTGGGTTCTGTGGAACGGTGGTTATTCATTCAACTTTCAGCAAATATTTACTGAGGGTCTGCTACGTGCCAGGCACGCGCGGCCTGTTCCAACTCTCTGTTCCAATAAAACCTGCTGTGGAAGTGCAGGCCAGCGCCCCCGGGAAGCAGGCTGCCCGCGGGGAAGGGGGAAGGCCCTGGGTGCGGGTGGAGGAGAAGGCCCTTCTGTCGAGGGCACAGGGTAGGGACTCCTCCTGTCATAGCAACGGGGGGGACGCAGACCCTGGGAGCGCGCAGGGGTACGTGTGTGACTCTTCCCATCAGTGCGTGGTCACCACATAGACACTCTTAGGGAGGGGCCGTGAAGGCTTCGGGAAACTTCCTCCTCGAAAGGCAGAGCCCCTGAGATCTCCTCCCCCGCCTGACAGCGAGTCACGACTCAGCTCTTTCAGGATGAGACGGTGCGGGCGGAGGCGGCCTCGGAATCCCTCTGTCGTACTCTGCTCATCTCACTGTCGCCCCGTCCTCCTCCTTACCGAAAAGGAGACTTTTTCCCATTCCTCCGGCCTCGTGGGAGAAATAAGAGCCCTTTGGCCACGCAGCAACTGGACTAAAATCCTTTCCCCCTTCTCTTTCCCCGCCTGAGCTGCGCCCGTCTGCAGCCCGCGCCGCCCTCACCAGAGGTACATGAGGATGAAGGTGCGCCTCCTCAGGCTCGGCGTGCGGAACAGGTCTGCGAAGGAAGGGCTCAGCTGTCCCGGGACATCCTCTTCGAGGGAGAGCATCTGGGGGGAGTCGGCGCGTCAACCCCGCCCCAGCCGCAGCGAGCAGAACCGTCCCTGGGCGCCCCCGGGCCGGCCACAGCCACCGCTGCCACGCCTCGCAGCCTCCCCGGCCACGGCCGGCCCGGGGCATCTCCTGAACCGCAAACCCGACCCGGGTTCAGTGACGCCAGAAACCCCCGCCCAGCTTTCTCACCCTCACGTCTTCAGGCGGCAACTTCCCGTTCTTTCGGGCGATGTGGTTCATTATCTTCACGGCCTGAGCGTTTCTCTTTTGCAACAACAGCCAGCGAGGGGACTCCGGCACGCACCTGCGGACACAGTTGAGCGCGGCGTGGCGCTTCCACCAGAACGCGTCTGACTTTAAGCCCCGAGGAGAGCGGCGCTGCAGGTCCGGGCAGCCCGTCCTTCTCACCCGGGACTGAGATTCCCCAAGCAGCTGGGGGTGAGAGTCTGAGGTCATCGTGCGCTGGCCGTGGGGCCCACGTGGGAGCTCCGAGGGCCACTCCTGCTCTTAGTGCCACCAGCTAAGATTCACCAACCAAGAGGAAGCCACTGTGTCCTGCGTAGCCTTCTCTCTCTGGAGCAGGCGCCCGTCTCTCCTGGAAGTGGCAGCCCTGGTCCCTGGGAAAACACTCAGCAGAGCAGATGCCCCCGCGCCGCCCCCGCTGCGCTACATCGGGCTGTCTCCGTGCAGCGCAAGGGCTGTTGAACAACTCTCAAGATCTTTCCCAAAATGAATTTACTTTCTTTTAAAATCAGAGCAACACCATGCTGTCTATGTCGAATGGGACACAGATGTTATAACGGAAAGATCGGGGCTCTCTGCCATAAGAGTCCTCTGAAAACACACGGGCGTCGCCTCCCCCTGCCGACCACCGGTACTTGGCCTGGGCGGGAGTCACTTCCTGCTGGGGGCCCTTGTTTCACACTGACAGGAGGGGAGCGGGCTCCTCTGGACGCCCTGGCCGCAGCGCACAACCCTCAGAGGCCACATGTCATTTAGAGAGATTGGGTCGACTCCAGTGTCACCCACAGATGAGATTTGCTCTCGGCAAAACTGAGACGGAAGGAGCGGGGACAAGAGGTTTCTCTCTGCGGCCCCTCTTCCCTCCACCAGAACAGAAGCGGCTCTGCGCTGACGGCCGGTTCTGTGCCGTGAAGGTCCAGTGCGCCCATTCCCCAGAGAGCATGACGTCGAGCAGCCCTGTCATTCATTCGTTCATTCATTCATTCATTCAACCAAGAGCGAACGCCTGCTGTGTGGCTAGCTGAGGGCATTTCAGAGCCGTGTTGATAATACCAATATTACTATAAAAATGAGGACGTGGGGGAGGAAAGAAGACAGAAGAGAGAGAAGAGGGGAAGGCGGAGAGGACCAAGAAGACCACAAGGTGAGAACATCTGAGCTAAAGCCAGCAGTGCTGGGGGAGCCTCCAGGGGCTGTCGGGGGTAGTAGCCACCACGGCAAAGCCACCACTTGTTGAACCTTTTCCAGGTACTGGCCGCTTTGCATAGATTGTCCCCCAGATTTCCTGAGGCCCTCAGCAACACATGGAAAGCTGCCTCTTCCACCAGGAGCGAGGCTGACCCACCGACGCCAATCTCCCTGCTGTCAGCACGGCCTTGTGTGTCCAGAAGGTGCACATTCTGAGGCTGCAGCATTCCCCTGAATTTTTGTTCCACTCTTAGCATCGCTGGCCTTTATCTAGGGAGATGCGAATTTAAAGACGCTCTGGCTGAGGAGAGCTCCCCACGCGACGAGGATTACTCGTAATATCAGAACAACCTAAATGGCACACGTGGTGTGAAGCGCCAGGCTCTGGGCAGCCCTGTGCCTTGTGTGTGGGGATGCCAGGCGCTTTGGAAGTTGGGCACCCTGCACTCGAGAGCTGGGTCTCACGTGAGGATGGAGGGCGGAGCAGGAGGAGTGGCCCGGAGGAAAGGCCTTACCAGTAGTAGAGCAGGAAGAGGAAGGTGGGCAGGGAGACGGCCAGCTGCAGCCAGCGCCAGTGGGGGAGGACGTAGGCCAGCCCGGTGAGCAGCACCAGCCCCACCGTGAAGGCCACCTGGTACAGGATCGCCACCGTTCTTCTGTAGTCCGAGCCGACGACCTCTGTGACTGCGACAGGAGACGTGGTCATCACGCGGGCCCCTTGTGGTGCTCAGAAGCTGAGGGCCCCGGTCCCCTCCCTTTCTCCCCGGGCGCTGCCGTGCCTCCCCCCTGCCCCACGTGCCCCAGCTTCTCTCTGTCCCGTGTCCTGCATTTCTCTTTCCCCCAAACCACAGCCATGCTCAGCTCTCACCTTCTTCCCTGCGCCCCTCACACCCGTCGGCTGAAGCCCCCAGGTTCGCCAGGCTGCTCTGTTCCCGCCTTTTCCCTGCCTGTCCCTTTCTGTCTCCTCGTTGACCATGAACGGTTCTCCCACTGGCCTCTGCCCCCAGAGCCTTCTTCCTGGAAGCTCCAGACTGAGCCAGGATACTTTTCAGGGCCCCGGGAGTGTTCGTTAATTGAGCAAATATCTTTGCATGCCGCCTTGGGACCCGGCACTGCTCTGGGTGTCTTCGCCAGCGAGCTCATGGCTCTCAAGGTAGGAACGGGGTTTCTCTGGGCCCTAGAGAACTATTTCTCGGAAGAGGGATGCCAAGTGACAGGACATAGTCTTCAGAGGTGACGAGACATGGCTGTTTCTCTTCTCCCCTCCACGAATGGGCAGGAACGTGGATTACCCTCACTGCTCTCGGTGCCCCACCCCGGGCTCGGGGAAATGCATGCAGCTGCTGTACGACACTTCCCTCCAGGAAGGGAGGTTTTGTTTCCTATTATTACCCTTCATAGAATATTTGAAAGGAAAAAAATAGGCTAATATGTAGAACTACTCACATTGGTTTATACCTCAATTTTCTAAAAAATCTTAATGTTTCTTTCCTTTCTTATTTCATCTTGTGCTTTCTCTCCTAACTCTGGTGTGCCATTCAGTCCAATTGAGTTTGTTTTATTTCTTTTAAGGAGTTGCTGGTTCCTTCATATTTAAGGTGTTAAAATATTCTCCCACCTGTCTCTGCTTCCTGCACCCCCACTGCCAATCTTTTGTTCCCCAAATAGATTAGTTGATATGGAAACGCGGGATCTAAGCAAAGGTCTCTCAGATACAAGGAGAAAGCAAAGGAGGTCACACCTGCCCCGCTCTCTGCCCTGGTCACACAGACACCTACACGTAACCAGTGTCCTGTGAGTTCCCCAGACCACAAACATCCCCCCAAAAGCCCCATTCCATGCGTGGCCCCCTCCCACTCCACCCCGCCACCTGACCACTGCAGGTCACTAAAGTCCAGGCAGCCTGGGCCCCGGGCATAATTACTCAGCGTGTAGCCGGCCATCCAGCTGCCCTTGCTGACCAGCCCCTGCAGCAGGCGGAAGAGCAGCACGGACACGTAGTCGGGCACCAGGCCCATGAGCACGCCCGCGATGGCGTTCACCAACACGGTAGCCAGGAGACACAGCTTGCGGCCAAACCTGCAGAGACAGGAGACGGGGAGGGTGAAACCTTGGGGTCAGACGCACAATGGGACGCCAAGGGTCCTGGTGGGAGGCCCACCACGCTGCTGTCCTGGCAGACCAACGCCGTCCTGGGAGGCCACAGGGGACTGTCGGGACAGCACCGCCCAGCACGTGGCCTGGCCATCGGTCCCCAGAAGCTCTGCGGCTCTTGCCGGGCGCAGTGGGGGTCCTGGGTGCTCTCAGCCCGGCCCGGCCCGCGCTGTCCTCCCGCGTTGAACAGACGCGTTGCTGTTAACGCAAGTGAACAGGCTGTGCCGAAAACCAGGCTCGTCCCCTCACATAGTTAATCTCGCGATGGTCGTAGAAGACTTTCTGTGAAAACATTCAGTTCTAGCAATGTCGCGAACGAGGACTGACTCTTCTTGCCTTTGTTCCTGAACGGAATGGCGAGTTACTTGCTAAAGTTCCGCACCAGCATCAGCTTCGTGGGCTCCATCTTTTCAACCGCATCCCCCGCTCGGACAGTCCCCAGGAGGCCAGGGGCGAACTCACCCCCTGGCTGGCCCAGCCCGGCCTGCCCTGTCCTCTCTGCTGCGCTCCGCCTGTCCCCAAACCGACTTCGCTCGCCAGTCCTGGCCACTGCCTCAGGCCTCCGTCCCTTCCCGGCACCGTCCCGCGCCCGCCAGTAAACGCCCGTGTCCTTTACGGACCAGGGAAACTTCTCACCCTGGGGTGCCAGCCCCGACTGCGTCGTGTTGGTCTCCTGTGTCCTTGTCTCCTGTGGGGGCCGCGCGGCCCTCTGAGCTCGGCCGGGTCCCTCCCTCCGTCTCACATCCTCCTCTTCCCACCACCACCGTCATCCTGGCCCCCAGGCTGTGCCGCTCCGGCCTCCTCCACGCCAGCTCGGGTGAAAGAGCTGTCCGTACACCGGAATCCGCTTCCTCACCGTCCGCTTCTCTTCAGTCGTCCCTGTCCCGGCACCGTGGCCTCCACATCCACAGACTCCGAGCGTCCACATTTTCACACTGCCCCGGAGAGGAGCCGTCCTTCTCCCACCGCCGTTTCTTCTAAGTGTCCTTTGCTGGCGCCTTCCTCCCTACTACCCGCCGCGAGCTGAAGCTCCCTCTGCACCCTCTTCTAGCCTATCTCCAACACGTTTTATAGCCTTAAACACAGGCTGCTGGAGACAAATCCCAAATATTGAACCCCAGCCCAAAGCTCGCTCCTGAGCTCAACTCACACACCCAACTACCTCCTGATGTCTCTTCCCATACGCCCCACGGGCCACTCCTAACACGTCCCCAAACTGCACACACCTAAGCTGGAACTCTGGCTTCTGCATCACCCCGGCCCTACAAACAGCTGCAGCGAAATCCGTTCCTCACCACGCTCTCCCATCCCAAGCCCAGTCCTGCACACTTGCTCGAAGCGTAAGCCTTGGCTTTGCCCCACATTTCTCTCAGCCCCCCACCCCAACTGTGCGATCCTCACACACCTCAAATCCCCCCCTTGCAGCCCACGGCAGCCCAGAGCACAGGTGGCCACGGCCGGTCTCCACCTATGTCAGCAGTAGGTTCCTACTGGCCATGTTCTTCCACCCTGTCCCCTAGAATCCCCTCTGCTCAGGGCACTGAGGGTACGTGTAATTGGACTGGCCTGTACATACCTGTCTGCGATGTAGCCGACGGTCAGAGAGCCCAGGAAGAAGCCCATGTTCACGCAGGACTGAAAGAGGTCCAGCTTCCAGGCATCGGCACACACCAGGTCAAACTGCCAGCCACAGCACGTCAGGAGGGACCAAAGACAGAACCGTGTGTAGGTCAGGACCACACCCTTCCATCCTCTCTCCAGGCAAAGTAAATGCGTCTCACTGCACTGGGAATCCCGGGCTGTTCCACAGTTTTCTCTTACCGCACTTCCGTAGGACACAGTTCACGGTTTCTGGGCAATCACTCAGTACGTATCAGTATGCAGCTGAGCCTCAAACAATTCGAGTTTGAATCCACGGGGTGCACTGACATGCAGATTTTCCCAACAAAGGCCACACCAAGTGCGCCTGCCTCTCCCGCCTCCCCTCCCACCTCCTCCACCTCTGCCACCGAGACAGCAAGACCCAACCCTCCTCCTCTTCCTCCTCCTCCTCAGCCCACTCAGCATGGAGATGATAGGACCTTTATGGTGTTCCACTTCCACCTAATGAACAGTAAATATACTTTCTCTTCCTTATGGCTTTCTTAAATAATATTTTCTTTAGCATACTTTAAGAATACAGTGTATAATACCGATAACATACAAAATATGTGTCCATCAGTTTTCTGTTATCAGTAAGGCTTCCAGTGAACAGCAGGTTATTGGTGGCTAAGCCTTCAGAGAGTCAACTGGGTGGGGAGGAGGCTGGCGCCCCCAGCCCCACATTGTTCAAGGGTCAACTCTATTCCTAAGACCCTGTATCACTCTCATCGTGTATTAAAAAAAGAGGTTGTTGTCAAGTGCTTTGTCATCGACAGTTGGTTATCAAAGGACAAAATGTCTTTGGTAAAGGGAGCAAGAACAGATAAACCTTCTCAAAAGAGACACGGCTGCTAGGTAAGTTTTCTAAAAAGAAATACAGCCAAGTAATTTTCCAAAAACAGGAATGTAGCAAAAGAAATATCATCTGTTTTCCAGAATTGGTCCAAGATCCTTCATCATATTAAGACATATTTAATTAAATAAATTGCACTAATAATTATGTACATGGTGTTGTCACCGTTGGAGCTGTGACAACTCGAAAAGGGGGGAGCAGAGACAGTGGGGGCGTCTCAGGGGCAGCTGGCATTCCAGCATCATGTGGGGTGGGAAGAGACTTAGGGTCCCATGTGCCAAGAGCCAGGGGAGGGGAGGGACCAAGTGGGGAAGACAGAGGCAAAGATGGGCGTGGGCTGCCAGGGAGGGGCTTGCTGTGTTTGGGGTTTTGGAGAAGGCAGATGCTCTCTGTGGTTAGAGGCCTTTGAGGAAGAAAAGCAGGTGGAAGGGGCATGGAGGAGCCCCACCTTCCCTGGCACAGAGAACAGGGTGACACTGGCACATGCCTGGGCATATGTGAGGCTCTCTTTAGAGCTGAGAGAGGCACAAAGAAGGCCACACTCCAGGAGACCAGAGGCTGGAGTGGGAGGGCTAGGGCCGGGGCCTCTGGCTCCCTCCCCATCCCCGGGGCAGCCCCTCCTGGGTGGAGTTGGGCGACACATCCGTCCTCCCCGGCCCTGCCTTTCCACACTGCTCTATTTGCTTCAGATTCATGGCTCCACCTAACCAGGGGATGATGGCAGCCAGTCCCTTAGCAGCTGCGGGCCTCAGTTTCCCAGTCTGAAACAGCGCATGGCACCTGTTGTCCTGTCACACTCGGGCAGCTGCTGTGAGCATCCTGATCATGTGAAAACTGTTTTGGTAAGTATTATAATAAACCATTTCATTTTAAAAACTGAGGTTTATTATCTGCTCCCCCAAATCTCTAAAGTTGCCGGTTTGAGCCACGCCCCTGCCCCGACTCTGGGGCCAGACACTCAGAGCCTCGGGGGCTCTGAACGCAGCCAGCCTGGGTTCCGCCTGACTGGAGGCTTCACTCCCAGATATGAGCACTTTTACCCTGAAATGCAGGTAAAACTCTGCAGTATCACCTGATTTTCAGAAACTAGTGTGTTAACTCCTGGGAACTGTCTTCCGCAGGGATTCGACGCCTGCTCCGCCTGCTCCTGTGGGCGGTTCAGCTCTGGGGCATGTGACAACCTGCTCAGTGTCACTCTCCTTCTCTCCGCCAATCCCAGTATTTATCTCCTCTACACTCTGGCTCAAAACACAGCTTCTCCATGGAGCTTCTCCCAGGCGCCCCACGCAAAGCATAGCTGTTCAGCCGGCGGTTCCTGGGCCTTCCTGCCTGCCCTGTGCTCTGCCGTCCGAGCGTGCAGGGCCGGATCTTTCCTGGGGGTTATCTGGCTGTCCCAGGGTCTCTATCTCCAACGGCCCAACTGTCTCTTTGTAGCCTCCACCCACGTCGCCGAGACAACTCTCTGTGTCTGCCGTGGGAGATTTCACTAAACACATAGGCACGGGGCGTGTCGAATTGTTACTCCTGGGCCTCAGTTTATCCCCTTCTTGGCCATTTGGCCATTGTTGTTTTTTTTTTTTTTTTTTTTTTTTGGTTTTCTTGCTAACGTCTGCAAGTTAGTGTCTCTGTAAGGTGTTCCTGCCGCCCTCCCTGACTGCCGCCTTGCCCCGGGACTGCGCGTGAAGCAGACAGCTCCCGAGCTAGAGGAAAGTGTGTCTCACCTTAAACACCCGTCGGAGGAGAGCTACCTCTGCCCCAGCCCCTGCAAGGCTTATAGACCTGCCGTACCTCCTCCGCTCCCAAAGTCAAGCCTACCCACCATGTCCCAACACTCCTGTGTGCACCTGGGAGGAGGCGGGGCTGCACGAAAGGCGGGGCGGAGGGGGTGTCCCAGGCCCGTTGGCTGCTCTTGCTGGGATCTCACCAGGGCCGGGGGACCCTTTCTGGCACAGTAAATACAGCAACAGGGCAATGTTCACCAACTCAGGAACCCCCCGCGTCCTTGTTAAAATACAGATTCCTGGGGGATTCTGCCTCAGTAGGTCATGAATAGGAATCAGGGGAGCCCAGGGATCACGCAAGTTTGGGAAACATGGACGTAGCCACCCCTGTCTCACGCTGGTCAGAGACCTCTTTCTCAGCGTTTGTGGCTGATGGAAGACAGTGGCCTCTGGCCTGATGCGGGGCTGAGGCTGAAGCCGTGGCTGATGGAGCAGAAGCTCTGGATGGGCGAGTCAGAAGTCACGGGACATCCACATTCCTTCCCCAAGGGACCTCGTGACCTAGCCCCTAAGCCTTGGGATGGTAGTTAAACTTGGTGTTCAAACAAGTTAGCGCACCCTCCTTCTTTAAGCAAATTCCAATGTCCAAGGCAAAGGTAGGTTAAAAATTAGTTCTGCAGCAATGAATAACTAAGCCTAATTCCTCAGTGATGATCTGCAGTTTAGGATGAGGAGCTGGGACTCAACGGAAAGGGGGAATTGAAGTGGGAGGCAATTCCCACCTGCCACCCCTGCCCACCCACCCAGCCATCCGATCACCCTTGAGTGCCTTCAACCGCCTGCCACCCGCCGCCCTGCACCTCAACACGCCCAGAATCAGCTCTCTCCTGAAACCTCTTCAAGGTCTCTGTCAGCGAGATTGCCAGGATTCCTGCGATCCTCACCAAGGCTCTACATCTTGGGGTCACCTGAAGCCCCTCATTAGCTGTCGCAGACAGCTGAGCCATCCTGAGATGCTCTCGGGCCACTTGCGTCTGCCCCCCGTTCCTGCTGCCACCCACCGAGGTCCCCTCGCCTGTCTCCTCCACCTGCCCACACGGCTGCCTCTCCCAGGTTCCCTGCCTGGCTTTTAGTAGCTCTGTTCTCCCCAGGACCAAAGCCCCCAGCCAAACTGGGCACGCCTTCTCCGCAGCCTGTGCGATGTCTGCATCTTTTCCATCGTTTCTTCCGTCCATTCCCACGATAAATGTGTTGTTGGCTTTCCTCACCATGGCTCCTTCCTTGGCCTCCTCACAGGTGTCCCCACCTCTAGTGAAGCCTCCCGTCCCCCCACCACCCTGCTTCCCACCCATTCACGAGGTCCACCTGGGAGCATCTTTTTCCTCTGCCCAGATAAGACCAAAGTCTTTATCAGAGTTAGTAAATAAAAACAGAGTGCCCAGTTAAATTCGAGTTTCAGATAAACAACAGTTTTTTTTAGCATGTGTTCCATGCACTGTTTGTATTCCCAGTCATAGTTATCAGTATCAAATAGGATGCAATAACTGGGACAAAATTACCCTATAAAATTGTGTTATCTGAAATTCAGACATAACTGGGCATCTCATATTTTATCTGGCGACCCTAGACAGGGACTCTGTGTCCTGACCCCAAGGCGAGATGCCATCGACATCTCCCGTGACTCCTACAGGACCCTGGATTCCAATCAGCTTAACAACTCTTTGCTCCCTGAACTCATTGCTCCTCTCCCTGGAAGCTCAGTGCAAGCTCTCCCTCTGGCCTGAGATCGACTCCCCCTCCCTGCTGTTTCCTCCCCTTGCTGGTCAAAATACCACATGAGGCTCAGCTCCAATGCCACCTCCTCCAGGAAGACGCCCAGGATCAGCTCAACAGCTGAGATCTCTCCCCTTGTAGAGCCCACCAGTCCCTCTGTGCCCTGCTCGCAGCACTCACCACATGCGGCCTAGGGCTGGCATTAAATGGACACTGGCCTCACTCTCGCTGCTCCTCCCCTCTCATCCCCGTGAGCCTGCAGGTGCGTTGAGGGACCCCACAGCCTCCTTCCCTCCCTCCCTCACGGCATCACGCCCCGCGCTGGACAGAGGGAAGCCCTGCACACGCTCGCCGAATGCCCGGGTGGGCGAGTGGATGGATGAAGGAGCGAGTGCGTCTGATCCTTCCACACAGAGCGAGCCTCAGTCCCGGGGAGCAGACACATCCCCTTCCTGCTTTCAGGAATATTCACCTGCCCAGCAGGAGTGTCGGACAGTTGAATGTCCCTGGAAGGTGAGTGTCACCGTAAAGCAAGCCGCACCAGCACCTGCTCTGCCCAGGTGAGCAGGTAGAGCGCTGACTGGGCCAGGAGGGAGAGGGGACCCTGGGCTTTCCTCCAGAAATGGCCCTAGACGTGTCCCCACTGCAACCACTAAGGAAAGGGAAGAGAGGATGACAGGAGATCCCAGAAGCCCCGTGAGCCTGGGGGCGGTGGGGGTGGCGGGCAGCCGGGAAGGACGGGGGGCGGGGGTGGAGCCCAGTGACCTGGTATTTCAGGTAGGTGGTGCCCGTGCCAAGCCTAGGCCGCTGCTGGCAGGTCCTCTGAGCAGGCGCTGGCCTTGGCTTCCCCAGTTGGCCAAGTGACCACGGGGGTCACAGTGCAACACTTGCACAACGGTCCGTGACGGAAAAACCCTGGCAGCACTTCCTGCTAAAAGAGTCTCAAAGCAAAATGCTCTAACAACCAATTAAACTTCCCAAGCCAGGCTCCTCTGATGCCATCGCCCTGTCCCCCAGGCCGAATGGGACCACGTGGAGTGTGAGGCTGCACAGTCCCCGGCTGAGCTTCACATGCCTGTGAGGCAGTTACCATTGTCCCCGGTCTGCCGGGGCTGGGGGTGCTCAGAGAGCCGGAGCGGCTTACCCAGCGACGCTCAGCGAGGGACTCAGGCAGTCCGACCCCAAAGCCGGGGTGATTCCCAGCCCCCCAGCACCCCTGCTCAGGTCACTTGGCATCACTCTCGTGAAGGGCGGCGGCCCCACGACTCTAAGTGCGGGGCCTGAGTTCAGTGTGCTCTGGGAGAAGCCTGGGGGGCAGGAGGAGAGGACCCCGGTCTGCCCGCAGACTCGTGTCCACACAGACCCGCTCCTCGCTGTGCCGGCCGGGCCTCGGGCCTCAGCGTCCTCTCAGACACCCGGCGTTTGTGAGGATCAAACCAGAGAAGAATGCAGGGCGCCCGGACAGAGCCAGACCCCTGCCAAGTGCATGACAAGCACTTCTCCTCCCTCTTTCCCGACGTGAAACAGAACCGTGGGGGATGTGCTTTCTATTCCTCCCTGCCCCGAACCCTCCCCGTTACCCAAAACGCAGAGCCTGCTCTCACCTCGGTGACGATGGAGGAGCCGGGCGTGTCGTACACCCAGCCGTGCTCGCAGGGGCCCAGCGGCAGGTGGCTCCTGTTGGCGGCCAGGTCGGCCAGGGGGTCCGCGCAGCGCAGGGCGCTCTGGTTCCAGTCCACCTGGTAGCGCCTGCACTGGCGCGGAAAGGCCTCGCCCGCGGGCCCCGGGCCTGGCACCGTGTAGTTCAGCTCCTCCACCCGGCTCCAGCCGCAGCGCCGGCTCAGCTCGGCCACCCCGGGGCTGCGGCAGTGGTGGTCAGGGGTGAAGCCCAGGAAGACGATGCCCACGTAGATGGGCGCGAAGGCAGCCGAGAGCAGACATAGGGTCAGGAAGGCTTGCTTCTGGAACCAGCCGAACTCCCCAACCTGCTTCAGGACGTCGTCCACGGTGGGCATGACGGGTCAGCACCCTCACCGCCCAGGCCCGGCCTGCTCTGGCTGCAGAGGGTGGGTGCAACGTCTCTCTTAGAGATCTTTGAAAAGGGGTGTTTTGAAATCAAGGGGCTGTCCAAGCGTGATAAGTCTGGAAGGCAACCAAGTGGAAATAATCTTTTACCCCACAGTGCGGTCTCAAAGCAGGGGTGGTGTGCACAAGGCTGCCTGGCCAACCTCTTTGCTTTGCCAGGAAAGCTCGTCAGCAAGGTTGAGACCCTGAGAGAGCTGGAGCCCACTGCAGAGCGAGGGCAGAGAGCAAGGCAGCACACCGCACAACCCCCCGGTCTCTTCGGGCTCCTCTGAGAGATCATCTACGGAAGAGCTTCTTAGAGCTCAGACAAATCAAAGACAGCAAATGGGCTGCTCGGCATAGCCGCAGGTTCTCGAGCCCCTACAGCCCACATTCCTGTCCCCAGCGTCAGCTCTGTGTCCCACTCGCAGCCCAGCTCCCTGGCCCATCTCTGCTGAGCCACGGTGGGTGATGGTGTGTTTGTTCTCCAGGCCCCAGTGCCATTTGTCTCTGAGGGATTTAAGGCCAGAGGCCGGTGGAAAAGGGAGCCATGAACAACCAAGGCCGGAGCTCTGGAGCCCCGCAGCCGGCCAGCCACACCAGCCAGCGAACTGGGCAATGCGCACAGCAGCCTCTGCCGGGGGCACCCGCTCAGGGCTAAGCGTGTGTGATCCAGGGCATTCCCACGGCAGCCTTTGAGGAGAATGCTACTGTCCCTGCTCCACAGCTGGCAGGACAGAGGCCTAGGGAGGTAAAAGCAACTTTTGAAGTTCGCACTGTTACTGGCCTTAAACGTTGTCCCGCTCTGAAGCAAGATCTCTGGATTTATCGAGCTGCCCTTGGCTGCCCTGGGGACTCCCCAGCAGCTCATCTGTTGGTTCCTTTGTTCATTCGGCAGATATCTGCTGAGTTCCTACACACTTCAAGCTGTGTGCCAGGCTCTGGGACATAGAGACGGGACAGTCCCCAGCTCCAAGCTCCCCAGACCAGGGCCTCTCAGCTGAGTGCGTCAGAACCTGTGACTTGCTTGTGACCGATGGAAACAGCGAAGGTCGTGGATGACTCTCCCGTGTTTACGTCCTGGAAGATTGTAACATCTGCCTTGCTGGAGTCTCTCTCCCTTGCTGGCTTTGATGGAGCCAGCAGCCCAGTGGGGGAGGCCCACAGGGCAGGGAGCTGGGGCACCTCTGTCTGACAACCAGCGTGAAACTGAGACCCTCAGTCCCACAACTGCAGGCACTGAATGCTGCCAATAGCACGCCAGCTCGGGAGCGCATCTTTCTCCAGACAGGCCCTGTGATGCGTCCAGCTCACTGCAACCACCCTCCCAGCTGCAGAACCAGCAGACCAGGCGTGCGCGTGCTGGACGCAGCTCAGTTTGTGGTGATGTGGTTATGCTGCAGTAGACAGGAAGGCCTCGGGCTCCTGGGAGTCCCAGAGCACACGCAAGGCCTGCAGAGAGTGAGCCTGGTGCTGCTGTGTGTTTGTGCGCAGCCCACTGAACAGGGTCTGGGCGGGGTGATGCGCTCCCCATGCGCCCGACTGCCCAACAGCAGCCCTACTCGGGACCTGAGGCCCCTCCATGGCCCTCCACAGAGTACCCAGTGCTCTCCGGCAACCCAGCCTGCTGCTCACCCCTGGTCAGCCAGGCTTTCCAGAACCCCCTGGGACTCCAGTGGGTGCCAGCACCTCCCCTGGGCAGGCCCCTCACCACCTGGTTGTGACACAGCCTGAGTTCCCAGGGAAACGGGGCCAGGGAGCTGCCTCTGCACAGGCGCCAAGCCCCAGTGTGCTCCAGCCCAGAGTTGTTGACGGAAGGCACCCCTGGGTGGCCAGGCAGAAAGCAGCCCGCCCTGTGCCAGGCCTCAGCCCCAGGAGGGGCTGCGACACCGGGGGCAGGTTAGCAGGTGCACACGATGCTGGGTGTCCCCTTCGCTGCCGAGAGCCTCATCTCCCTGCTCCGTGGGCACTGGCAGCTGGAGCCCCAAGCGCAGTGGCCCGTGGGCTGGTGTGGTCAAAAGCATGGCCCACCGCAGGGAGCTGCAGCTCCCAATCCCCTCCTTATGGGTTTTCTTCTCTGGACATGCTCAGTTGCTGCCCAGGGAGGGCACAAAGGGGCTGCTGCCCAGGGGATGGAGTGGGGCCCAGAACGGCGAGAGGGAGAGGACCAGAGCAAGGCCCTCCCCAGAGCAAGGCCGTGGAGCCCGTGCAGAGCCGGCCTACTCCCCTGAAGCGGGAAGCAGCCGGAGTGCAAAGGTCCTGCTTTCGCACACTGGGGAGAAACCAGGGCCCCTCTGGCCCCACCTCCTGAGTGGCCCGGCCAGGCCCACTGCTCCCTTGCTCCACGGAGAAGAGCAGCTGCCCTGCTCCGGGCGGGAGCCGCCCTTCCCAGCTGCTCAGGGCTCAGGCCCTCTCTCTCTTATTGGACTAGGTGGCCTCGCCCACTGCTGCAGCCTTCCCCTCCCCCATCTCCCAGCCCCACGGCTCAGACCCACGGAGGGATGGCTGGACACCCCAGCAATCAGAACTGCACAGTGGCTATTGCCGCCATCCTATTATAGCTGAGCCTCTGGGATGGTGGAGCAGGCTCCTTGCTGGGCCACTCATGATCCGACAGAGCCTGTGAGTTCCCACATTGCAGGTGAGAAACCATGGCCTGAGGGAGCAGGTCACCTGCCCAAAGTCACGCAGCTGGCTCCAGGTGAGTCTCAATACATCCCTTCACTCAAAGCCCGTCACCAGTCACCAGTTTTCCAAAACTCCCTCTGCCGCGACCCAACTCACCAAACATCCAACCGGATGCGAATTCCAGTGGCCGTCTCCCTCTGCTCCAGGCTCAGGACCTCCCGGGCCAGCAGGTGGAGATAGGGGCAGGAGCTGGCACAGAGCGGGGCTTGCCTGGAAACACAGAAGGGAAGAGCCGGGCTCAGCGGCAAGCCCAGATTTGCGCGGGAAGCGTTGGCCACCGCGGTGCTGTCCATGGATTCCAGGAGACATTCGACGTTCCCAGTGAAGTGGCTGTCAGGCCTGTGACGACATGCTTGTGGGAAAATCAGCCATGGTTCTGCAAGTCAGTCACTGGGGACTGAGCTTGCCAATCCCTGGGGACCCTGGATGTGAGGGACAGCAGCCTGGGGCGCAAGCTCCTGCTCTGGCCACTGGGTGCCCTCCCCGCCTCTCGCCTCTTGGGGCTGTGCTCAGGCCCCTGTCACCTGCCCAAGGCTTCCTCAAGGGCTCCCGGGGTGGGCTGTTTACCCCTCTGTGCCTGCCAGGAGGGGACCACCGTGGTCCCGGAAGCTGGAAGAGATTCCCCCTCACAGCCTCACAGGAACCAGCCCTGCCGATTCCTTAATCTTGGCTTTCCAGCCTCCACTGCTGTGGGGTGGCAGTTGTGGTACTTTGTCCGGGCAGCCGTCCACAAACAAGTCCAGAGAGGAGAGGCCCAGGCCTGCCGGGAGCGCACAGCCTCCTGGACGCACACGGACCCGCGGGGTTCCCGGTCTAGGCTGCCTCTACCTTGTCCCTTCACCGAGCCGTTCCTGGGATTTACTGAAAATGCGATGCAGAAAATTCACTCATTTGCTTATCGGATTGTGCCCCCCAAAAGTCTGCTTTAGGCCAGGCACCACGATGCAGACATCTGTGATCGGAAGAGAAATACGACCATCCCTTCCCTCGTGGAGCTTTGTGAGAGAGGACAAGATCCTGTTCGTCTACCCTTCCAAGTTCTCAGCTGGGGACCCTGTAAAAAAAGACAGATTAACGAGAAAAACAGAAGTTTACCAGCATTTGCATCTCACGTTTACAAGGGAGAAACACAAGGAAGAGTAACTCACAGAGGGGACTTGGAGCCCCTGCTGGTGTGGCATCTTCGCAGAGAAGAGGTGGGACAGAGGAGAGGGTTCCAGGCCCTGGGACGGTGCACGCAGCGTGTGGAAAACTAAAGGCAGAGGAAGGCCGGGCAGCAGTTTGTGACGCCAGTTCCTCTGGCGCCATCTCCAGGCTGAGAAGGGTCTAGACTTGTCTGTGGACGAACTCTTGTCCTTCCAGGTGGAGCGGGGAGGTGGCACCAGAGAAAGCGTGTGTCCTGCTCTCCTGCGGCGGGGGGGGGAGGGGCGGCTGTTCTTGTTTTTTCTTCTTCTGCTTCGTCTTCTTCTGCTCCTAATCCTCCTTCCTCCGGGGGAGCGCTGCTGGTGGTTGGCCCCGGTTGTTTTCTTTCGGTTCTTGGGGCGGGGTTGTTGTTGGGCGGTTCCCGTTCTTCCCCCCCGGGCCCGGGCGTTGGGTTGCCCCCGGCCTTGTTTTGCCTTGGCGGGTTGCTTGGGGCTGGGAGGTTTTTTGGGGGGGATGTCGGTATTCGTCTGCTCAGGCTGCCACAGACTGGGGGTTTAAACAACAGAAAGTCATTTTCTCACAGTTCTGGAGGCTGGAAGTGTAAGATCAAGGTGGCGGCCGGCTTGGTGTCACCTGAGTCCTCTCTTCTTGGCTGCAGAGGGCAGCGACTGGCTGTGCCCTCACATGGTCACCCCTCCGTATGTGTCTGGGTCCTAATTTCCTCTTCGTGTACGAACACCAATCGTATTACACTGGGGCCCACCCGAGTGACCTCATTTTACCTTAATTACCTCTTTAAAGACCCCGTCACATTCCGACGTACTGGGGGTCAGGACTTCAACATGCGAATTTTGGGGAACGCAGCCCGAGCCGCAGCGATCTCTACACCCCACCACGCACAGGCGGGAGGGAAAACGAGGGAACGTGTCAGAAGCACCAATTCACGGGCTCCAGTTTTCAGCAGTTCTAATGCCGAGCTTAACTTCTTAGAGAATTTGACCCAAAAGAGACGGAACTCTGTCGGGGGGCACGATGGCAGGGACAGGGCTGGCGGTGGGGGGGCTGCCTCTGGGAGAGCGGCTCTGACGTGCCGCCTACTGATCTCCTCTTGGCCCTCAGTGCCTTGCGGGTTTTGATTTCATCCAGCTTTATTGAGCTGTAAAGGACAGATAAGAATTGTATACAGTGGATCCTCGAACAACTGTGGGGACAAGAGTGACTTCGTTTTTAAATGCTAATCTGCCTGACTAACCCTGGGTCTGGGAACATCTCCAAAATGCCCAGTCGATGTATTTCTCTTTATGTAGAACCTGGTCACTGCAAGTTCCACCTTTCCTGCAAAACCACCGCGAAGCTGGTGCACCGTGATGCCAGCAGCGTCCTCTCGGCCGCTAT